GTGGCCGCACCATTTTACATTCCCTCCAGCAGTGCACAAGGGCTCCGACTTCACGTCCTCACCAGCACTTGGTTTTCTGTTCTGGGATAATAGCCATCCTGATGGGTGTGAGGTGGTATCTCATAGTTTGGATTTGCATCTCTCTAATGATTAGTGATGCTGAGCATCTTTCCATGTGCTTATTGGCCGTCTGTATATCTTCTTTGGAGAAATGTCTATTCAAGTCCTTTGCCCATTGTTTGAATTGGGTTGTTTATCTTTTTGTTTTTGAGTTGTAGGTATTCTTTATGTATTCTGGATCCAAATCCCTTATCTGATATATGATTTGCAAATATTTTCTCCCATTCTGTGGATTGCCTTTTTACTCTGTTGAGAGTGTCCTTTGAAACATAGAGGATTTTTTTAAATTTAATTTTTTCAGCTTTATTTATTATTATTGACATATAACATAAAGTTTAAGGTATACAATATTACGATTTGAAACACATATATTGTGAAACGATTACCACAATAAGGTTAGTTAACACCTCTATTGGCTTACCATTTTTTTGGTGGTGGTACCATTTAAGATGTGCTCTTAACAGCTTTCAAGTATGCAGTACATTATTGTGAACTGTGGTCATGATATTGTACATTAGATCCCAGAATTATTCACCTTATAACTGTAAGTTTGTGCCTTTGACCAGCGTCTCCCCCGGTCCCCCACTCCTCAGTCTCTGGAAACCACCGTTCTACTCTCTGTTTCTATGAGTTCGACCTTTTTAGATTGAGATTGTAGGTTCTCACTCACGTAAGTGAGAACATACAGTGCTGGTCTTTCTCTGTCTGACTGATTTCACTTAGCGTAGTGTCCTCAAGCTCCATCCATGTTGTCACAAAAGGCAAGATTTCCTTCTGTTTGTGGCTGAATAATATTCCGGGGTGTGTGTGTGTGTGTGTGTGTACGTACCTCAGAGATATTGTCAGTTCAGTTCTATACCGCTGCAATAAAGGAAATACCACAATAAAGCAAGTCACATGAATTTTTTGGTTTCCCAGTGCATGTAAAAGTTATGTTTACACTGTTCTGTAGCCTGTTAAGTGTGCAATAGCATTGTGTCTAAAATAACAATGTACATACCTTAATTTAAAAATACTTTATGGCTAAAAACTGCTAACCATTATCTGAGCCTTCAGCAAGTCATAATCTTTTGCTGGCAGGGGGTCTTGTAAAAAATGCAGCATCTGCGAAGCACAAGAAAGTGAGGTATGCCTACGTTCACCTCTTCTTTATCCTTTCGTCCTTCAGTGGACACTTAGGTTGTTCCTGTGTCTTGGCTACTGTAAATCATGTTGCAGTGAACATGGGGGTGCAGATTCTCTCACAGTTAGTGATTTCATTTTCTTTGGATAAATACCCAGAAGTGGGATAGCTGGATCATATGTTAGTTCTATTTTTAATTTTCTGAGGAATCTCCATACTATTTTCCATAGTGGCTGCACCAATTTACATTCCCACCAACAGCGCACAAGGGTTCCCTTTTCTCCTTATCCTCACCAACATGTTATTTCTTGTCTTTTTGATAATAGCCATCCTAACAGGTGTGAGGTGATGTCTCACTGTGGTTTTGATTTGCATTTCCCTGATGATTAGTGATGTTGAGTACCTTTTCATGTCCCTGTTGGCCATCTGTGTGTTGTCTTTGGAAAAATGTCAATTCAGGTCCTCTGACCATTTTTTTAATTGGATTTTTTTTTTGTTATTGTTATTGAGTTGTATAAGTTTTTAAATTTACTTTGGATATTAACCTCTAGGTAAGATAAGATAACCAAGACAGGTGGTTTGCACATATTTTCTCACATTCGTAGTTTGCCTTTTCAGTTTACTGATTGTTTTCATTGCTGTGCAGAAGCCTTTTAGTTTGATGTAGCTCCATTTGTTTGTTTTTGCTTTTGTTGCTTGTACTTTTCGTGTCATATCCAAAAAATCTTTGCCATGACCCATGTCAAAGAGCTTTTTCCCTATAAACACAGAAGTTTAAAGTTTTGATCTAGTCCAGTTTATCTATTTTTCCCTTTGTTGGCTGTGCTTTTGGTGTCATATCTAAGAAATCGTTGACAAATCCAATGTCATGAAACTTTCCCCGTATATTTTCTTCTAAGAGTTTTGTAGTTTTATCTCTTATGTTTAGGTCTTGGATCCATTTTGAGTTAATTTTTGTATATTATGAGATAAAGATCCAACCTCAGTCTTTTCTCAGAAACTTGTGAATAAGAATTTTGTGTTAATCATTTGCCAATTGACTTGCTCCTTGAGAACCTGAAATAGAAAAGCTTCCAAAAGATTGACCTCAGACCTAGTTTTTTAAGGTCCCTGGACCCTCACCTGGTGCCCTCAGCTCACCTGTCCAGAGCTCGTCCCTGTCCTTGAACCCTCACCTGTTGCCCTCAGCTCACTTGTCCAGAGCCCATCCCTGTCCTTGAACCCTCACCTGGTGTCCTCAGCTCACCTGTCCCGAGCCCACCCCCATCCTGGCCTGAGTTCTCAGCTCTGACCACATTCTCCCCACTCCTCTGGCACAGAGGGTAGGGACTGCAGCCAGGTCTGGGATCCTCCCTTCACTGTGTCCTCTCATGACCTCTGTCTGGAGTACCCCTGCATTTGCCCCAGTGCTGTATCCCAGGCCCCCAGCGCACTCTGCCCCATGCTGCAGCTGGGACTTCTTCGTGAAGCATACATGGCTCACACCCTGCCCTGCTCTGGGAGGTGACGCCCACTCTGGTGTGACCCCCACCTGCAGACCGTGTCCATCCCTCTCCAGCCCTCCCACCTGCACCCCTCCTTTCTAGCTTAGAAGCCTGGTGGTGCTGTCACATGGGGTGAGGGTGGAGTGGGGGGCAGCCTGGGTCTTGGGGCTGGGAGGGCAGGGCGTGTGTGTGCTTGCACACCCTCCTCATGGCGCTTCGTAGGCCCCGGACAGCCAGCCCTGGCACCTCGTGACCTCACCCACAGCTGCAGCCCTGCTGGGCCTTTTTCCTGGTGGGTGCCCTGGCTCTGGACCCTGCGCTCTATGGGCCGGTCAGGCTCGGGCACATCAGGCCCCTCGCGCGCTCCCTCTGTGTTCGTCCCCATCCACCTGACCTTCCCCAGGCCCTCCCGTGTTCGTCTTCCAAAGCCCGTGAACTTCATGTAATTTGCTGATTTGTGTGAGTGCTTATGAATTTGGTTTCTACAGGATCCATCTATTGAGCAAACGATAATGTTCTGTCAACTCAGTGTGTGGTGATAATAATTATATACATTTATTGGGCCCTTATTGTGGACCGGGAACTCTGTAAGATTCGTGGTTAACTCATTTAACCATTAAAACAACCGCAGGAGGCGGGTAGTGTATCCCTTGTTGATGTTGAAGAAACAGAGATGCGTGGTGAAGTGATGCAGTTGTGGATGGGGATCGGGGGTTCCCACCCAGGGAGGAGATTCCAGAGGCTCTGGGATAATCCTGCACTGTACTGTCAGTGCTGTTCTAGGATGAGTTGGAGGGTTTTAGCATCGTTTATGTTGAGTTAATATCTGTATCAGGGCTCCCTCAGAAGTGCCTGGGTCGAGAGCAGTTGGAACCCCACAGCTCACATCTGTCCCCGCACACTGACCTTGACCTCCTCACTCAGTTCACGTCTCCCCTCACGCTGACCTTGACCTCCTCACTCAGTTCACATCTCCTCTCATGTTGACCTTGACCTCCTCCCTCAGTTCACGTCTCCCCTCACGCTGACCTTGACCTCCTCACTCAGTTCACGTCTCCCCTCACGCTGACCTTGACCTCCTCCCTCAGTTCACGTCTCCCCTCACGCTGACCTTGACCTCCTCACTCAGTTCACATCTCCTCTCATGTTGACCTTGACCTCCTCCCTCAGTTCACGTCTCCCCTCACGCTGACCTTGACCTCCTCACTCAGTTCACGTCTCCCCTCACGCTGACCTTGACCTCCTCCCTCAGTTCACGTCTCCCCTCACGCTGACCTTGACCTCCTCACTCAGTTCACATCTCCTCTCATGTTGACCTTGACCTCCTCCCTCAGTTCACGTCTCCCCTCACGCTGACCTTGACCTCCTCACTCAGTTCACGTCTCCCCTCACGCTGACCTTGACCTCCTCCCTCAGTTCACGTCTCCCCTCACGCTGACCTTGACCTCCTCACTCAGTTCACATCTCCTCTCATGTTGACCTTGACCTCCTCCCTCAGTTCACGTCTCCCCTCACGCTGACCTTGACCTCCTCACTCAGTTCACGTCTCCCCTCACGCTGACCTTGACCTCCTCCCTCAGTTCACGTCTCCCCTCACGCTGACCTTGACCTCCTCACTCAGTTCACATCTCCTCTCATGTTGACCTTGACCTCCTCCCTCAGTTCACGTCTCCCCTCACGCTGACCTTGACCTCCTCCCTCAGTTCACGTCTCCCCTCACGCTGACCTTGACCTCCTCACTCAGTTCACATCTCCCCTCATGTTGACCTTGACCTCCTCACTAAGTTCACATCTCCCCTCACGCTGACCTTGACCTCCTCCCTCAGTTCACGTCTCCCCTCACGCTGACCTTGACCTCCTCACTCAGTTCACGTCTCCCTCCTCATGCTGACCTTGACCTCCTCACTCAATTCACATCTCCCCTCATGTTGACCTTGACTTCCTCACTCAGTTCACGTCTCCCTCCTCATGCTGACCTTGACCTCCTCACTCAATTCACATCTCCCCTCACGCTGACCTTGACCTCCTCACTCAATTCCTGTCTCCCCTCATGCTGACCTTGACCTCCTCACTCAGTTCACGTCTCCCTCCTCATGCTGCCCTTGACCTCCTCACTCAGTTCACGTCTCCCTCCTCATGCTGACCTTGACCTCCTCACTCAGTTCACGTCTCCCTCCTCATGCTGACCTTGACCTCCTCACTCAATTCCCATCTCCCCTCATGTTGACCTTGACCTCCTCACTCAGTTCACGTCTCTCTCTTTCTTGCCCTAGACTTTGACCCTCACTACTTTTGGCACTGGAGCAGCTTTGCGGACTACGTGCAGTGTGTCCTGGCCTTCACGGGCATAGCGGGCTACATCACATACCTGTCCATTGACTCGGCCCTGTTTGTGGAGACTCTGGGCTTCCTGGCGGTGCTGACCGAGGCCATGCTGGGCGTGCCGCAGCTCTACCGCAACCACCGCCACCAGTCCACGGAGGGCATGAGGTAGGTGGGCACGTGATGCTCTTGCTGTGCCCATCAGCACCAGGTTGCCCACATGTTTGGTAAAAATGAAATATGTACAAATCTAGCTGCTTTATTTTCAATGATATGTGTAAAACTTCCAGTTAAGGGGCAATTTAGATTTGAACACATTGGTCCTTTGACCTCCTGATGCATGAGCATTAGTGAGTGTGCCACAGGTGAGGGGAGCTGAGACCCTCTTATGAAGCAGATAACCGGTTGCAGGAGCTGAAAGCTGCTCCTTCAGGGTTATGGAGCCTGAAGCGTTGTGGTGGGAGGGAGGTGCTGAGCATAGAAGAGGGGCGGGAGGGGAGTAGGCTCTGCCCACAGAGTGCGGAAGCGTACAAAGGCAGCCCCGGCTCATGCTGGTGGCCCTGTGAAATGAGATGTGCTCTCATTGGTGGTGGGGGCCGTGTGTCATGAGATGTGCTCTCGTTGGTGGTAGCCATGTGCCATGAGATGTGCTCATGTTGGTGGTGGCCGTGTGTCATGAAATACGCTCTCATTGGTGGTTGCTGTGTGTCATGGGCAGAGCGAATGTCCTGCTGCCATCCATGTCTTCAGATGTCCTCCAGGTAATGAAGGCCAGTGTGGGATGGTACTTGAAGCTGGTGCATGGAGCCCTTCCCTCCCCTGCGTGGGTCTGCAAGTGTCCCCCATGGCACTGGGTCTGGGTGTCCATTGGAATCCCTTGGGCCCCTCTTGGATTGGTTGCTCAGAATCATCATTCCTGCCAGGTGCTCCTCTAGCACTTGCTTGCTCTCTGTGATGGGGAGCTCTGTTCTTCATATAGGAACTAACAATTGTATGTAGGCTCTGTTAGAGGCCCCTTATGTAGTGCCTGAACTGCTCATAACTTCTTCCCTGAAATCCATGTGGACCGACCCTCAGTCCCGCCCTGTGTGTGTGAAGGTCATCATGACCCCACTTCCCGAGGGGTCTCTTCTCTGTGCTCACCCCCCTCAGGCATGTCAGCTGTTACTCCTATGATATGGCTTCCAGTCCCTTCCCCACCGAATTCTCCCTGGATGGTGTCCTTTCAAGTGACACGTGATGGCAGAAGACTAATGTGCACCTTCAGAACTGGACATGGCTGATCCAGTGGCTTTGGAGTAGCGTCCCCTCCCCGTGGGCCCTCGGCCTCCACTGACTCACTGAGGCTGAACACCTGCTTTGTGGCGCAGTATGCTCACACCAGGCTCACACTGCTCCCACACCTGCTGCTTCTGAGTCCATCAGCCCATACATGTGTACCTGTGTGCTGGGCTGCACCTTGGCTGTCACTGTTTACCGGTTAAATCCTTTGACATGTCTGCAATCAGCGCTTGTATCCGGCATGCAGGGGACACCCTGAGAGTGTGAATCCAACACTGTCTTGACTTTCCAAGTCCAAGCTTTTATGATGGGGAAGGGCCACCCATGGGTCAGAGATAGGCCAGAGAGCAGGCTACGTGTACGAGTGGCAGGAGGCCATGATCCACAGTGTCTCCAGAAGCTGAAGGTTCAAGCCCCTTAATGTAGGAAATGACACCCCAGCTTACTCCCCCAACACCACCAAGAGGAGGTCTCAGGGCACTCCCTTATGGGGCGGCCCTCACCTCGGGGAATTATGAAAATAATTCCATTTATAATAACATCAAAAAACTATAAAATACTTAGGAATTAACTTAACCAAGGAGGCGAAAAACTTGTACAATGAAAACTACAAAACGTTGCTAAAAGAAATTTGAGAAGACGTGAATAAATGGAAACACAGCCATGTTGATGGATTGGAAGACTTAGTCTTGTTAAAATGTCACTACCACCCAAAGCGGTCTCAGATCAATGCAGTCGCTGTCAAAATCCCAACGATATTTTCCCAGAAATAGAAAAACCCAGTCTAAAATTCATATGGTATCTCAAGGGACCCTAAATAGCTAAAACAACCTCAAAAAAGAACAAAACTGGAATCTCACACTGAGATTCAAAAATTACTACAAAGCTACAGTAATCAAGACAGTGTGTTATTGGCGAAGACAGACATATAGACCATGGAAGAAAACGGAAAGCCCAGAAATAAACCGTCACATATATGGTCAAATGCTTTTCGACAAGGGAGCCAAGACCACTCAGTGGGGAAAGGAGAGTCTTTTCAACAGATGATGGTGGGAAAACTGGATTTCCACATGCAAAAGAATGAATTTAGACCCTTATCTAACACCATTTACAGAAATTAACTCAGAATGGATCAAGACCTAAATGTAAGACCTAAAGCAGTAAAACTCTTATAAGAAAATCTAAGACAAAAGCTCCATGACATTGGATTTGGCAATGATTTCTTGGATATGACACCAAAGGCACAGGTAACAAAAGAAAAAATAGACAAATTAGACTTCATAAATTGAAAAAATTTTGTGCCTTAAAAGACAGCATCCACAGAGTAAAAAGGCAACCCACAGATTTGGAGAAGCTATTTGTAAATTATATATCTGATAGGGGATTAATATCCAGAATATATAGAGAACTTCCAAAACTCAACAGCAAAAAAACAAACAACCCAATTAATGGGCAAAAGACTTGAATGAACATTTTTCCAAACAAGATTACAAATGGCCAATAAGCAGAAGAAAAGATGCTCAATATGACTAATCTTTAGGGAAATGCAAATCAAACTACAATGAGATACCGCCTCACACCCATTAGGATGGCTACTGTCAACAAAACAAAAAAGAGTAAGTCTTGATGAGAATGTGGAGAAATTTGGAAGCCTTATCGCTATTGGTGGGAATACAAAATGGTACAGTCATTGTAGAAAACAGTATTAAAAATACTCAAAAAATTAAAAATAGAATTAGCATATGATCCAGCAATTCCACTTCTGGGTATATACCCAGAAGAATTGAAAGCAAGTTGAGATATTTGTACACCCATGTTCATAGCAGCATTATTCACAATAGCTCAAATGTGGAAGCAACTCAACTATCCATTGATTGATGAATAGATAAGCAAAATGTGATATATATACAGTGAATTATTACTCAGCCTAAAAAGGAAGGAAATTCTGAAGTATGCTACAACATGGGTGAACCTTGAGGACATTATGCTAAGTGAAATAAGCCAGTCACAAAAGACAAATACTGTATGATTCCATTTGTATGAGGTACTTAGAGTAGTCAAAATTATAGAGACAGAAAGATGGAATAAATAAAAAATAAAATAAAAATAGTTTGGGTGGTGAACATGATGTAATCTACACAGAATTCAAAATATATTATGATGTACATCCGAAAGCTATATAATGTTATAATCCAATGTTACTGCTATTAAAAATAAATAAATAAATAAATAAATAAATAGAAAGGTGGAGATTGGCAGGGGCTGGGGGAAGGAAGAATGGGGAGTTAATGGGGACAGAGTTTCAGTTTACAGGATGAAAAGATTTATGGGAATGGATGGTGGTGATAGTTGCACAGCAAAGTGGATATATTTCATACCAGTGAACTGCACACCAAAAATGATTAAGATGGTAAATTTTATGTCATGTATTTTGCCTCAATAAAAAATAAAGTAAAAAATAACCTACCAAAAAAAAGGAAATAAAGAAATAATACAGGGAGATCCCATGTACCCTTTACCCACTTTGCCCAATTGTAACATTTTGCAAACTACAGCCCAGTCTCACAGCCAGGATGCTGACACTGACACAGTCCAGACGCGGCATCTGTCACCCCAGGGCTGCCTGGCACCCTTTACGGTCACACCATCTCCCTCTGTCCTAGCCCTACCCACCTAACCCTAAGTCTTGGCAACCATTGATCTCTTCTCCATCTCTGTAATGTTGTCGCTTCGAGGATGTTGTATAAATAAGATCATACAGTATACAATATTTTAAGGTTGCCTTTTTTTACTCAGCATAATTCTCTGGAGATCCATCCAGGTGCTTGCTGTATCAACAGCTGTTCCTCGTGGTGTCTCATGGCGTGGTGTGCCGCAATTCGTTAACCATTCACCTGTTGAGGGACATGTGGGTTGTTTCCAGTTTTCAGCTGTTACAAATAATGTTTCTGTAAACATTCATGTACAGGTTTTTTCATTAACGTAAATCTGTTTCTCTTGGATAGATGCCCAGAATGCAATTGCTGGATTGTGTGGTAGTTTCATATTTAGTTTTTAAAGAAATTGCCAAACTGTCTTCCACGGTGGCTGCACCATTTTGCTTTCCCGCCAGCAGTTTCTCCACATTCTTGCTGGCAGTGGATGTCTGTTTTACATTAGCTGCCGACAGGAGTGTTGTGATATCTCATTGGGGTTTTCATTGTAATTTTCCTAATGGCTGATGATGTTGAGCATCTTTTGTTTGCTTATTTGCTATCTATATATCCTTTTCAGTGAGATGTCTCTTTATGTCTTCTGCTTGTTTTCTAATTGGATTTTTTTTTACTGTTGACTTTTGAGAGCAGTTATTATATATATATATTCTAGATACTATTTCTTTCTTGGATATTTGGTTTGCATATACTTTGTCCTAGTCTATAGATTGTCTTTTCATACTCTTAACGGGATTTTTTTATGGAGAAAATGTTTTTAATTTTGATGAAGTCCAACTTATCAGTTTACCTTTTGTGAATCATGATTTTGGTGTCAAGTCTAGGCACCATGCGTGGCCTAGCCCTGGGTCCTGAACATTTTCTCCTTTGTATTTTTCTAAAAGTTTTAGTGTTTTGTGTTTTATATTTAAATCTGTGATCCATTTGAGTTAATTATTTTGTAAGACATGAGACTTAGGTTGATGTTCTTTTTTTTTTTTTTTTTTTTTGCACCTTTGTCACAAATCAGTTTGGCATGTTTGCATGGATCTCTTTCTGGGTCCTCTGTCCCATTGATCTGTCTGTCTCTCCTTCTGCCAATACCTTACAGTCTTTAGTTCTGCAGGTATATGATGAGTCTTGAAATTGGGTAAACTGACTCCTCCCATTTTCTTTTTCTTTTTAAGGGTTGTTTTT